TACTGAGCTGCCAGAAGAGCGCCAGAAGGAAGGGCCCTCAAAGGCCACCAGGAGAGTCCTGCCCCTGACGACTGAAAACGAAGACATCCTTTCTTTCCTTGGCACCTGCCAGCAGGAGCATTGGGCCCCACTGGCTGGGGTCACGGCCCATGCTGACCTTGATGGTTGGGCTGACTTCAGATCTTGACATTCTTCTGCAGAAACCTCCCTGCCTCTGGAGAATCCTTGGCCTTAACTTCTCACGGAGCCTGCTCCTCTGCTCACTCTTGAAGCCCCCGACCAGGCACTGATCCCCAGTCTGTTCGGATAAGGAAGGCAGTGGCTCTGTGGGCCTTTCCTGTTACGGTGCACACTTCCTGGACCCGGGCTCTGGGCCTCCCCTGGGGCCGTCAGCTCCCTCCTACCTGAGGGATGCTCCTTCCTACTCCCTACCTTGTAGACCTCTTTTCTCCTTTCTCCTTCTCCGTTCTCGGCTCTGCATCTTCCCTGTCTAGGCTCAGGCCAGCAGTCCCCAAGGCAGGTTTCAGCCACTGCTGGTCTCAGGGTCAAATTACAGACTTACCCACCAGGACACCCTACACACTCTCCGCCTACTTCTTGGTCCTCTGAACTGCTTGCATACAAGTCTGCACAACACCTACCAGGCGCAGCTTGCTAACTGCAGGGAGCTCACACCGCTGCCTTTTTACTTCCTCGGGGTCCTTCGCAGCCGTGCTGCACCTGCTGTCATCTTAGTGACTTAAAGTGTTCATTTCCCTGTATAAAAACAGGTTCTTGGTCTTCTGAATGTAAATGTAATGTATGGACACTTCTTGGTATTATTGTACGTCGGGGGCATCTACTCTCCACCCCTGCACTGTCTGAATGAGTTCCCTGTCTCAGTCCCCACCTTGGCTGTAACCACTTTGCCTGTGACAGTCACAGCCAGCTTGCTACCCACCTACAGCTCCAGGAAAATTCCAGGACTGGAACCACTCTTGGGCCCACCACGTTCTTCCTGCCAATTGACCTGCTGTCCAGCTTGTTGGGCAGGTGTCCTGGGAGCCTCCATGGCCTCCAGAGTGTAATTTCTCCACTGGTGTTGGCTGGATCTCTTGGACAGGGACTTTCTGCCTTAGTCCTGAGGCTTTGCATTCCTGCTCCCAGCTTAGCTGGGTGCCAGGCTCCCTAGAGCCATAGTGCAGGTGAACCTGGTCTACACCTGCCATTCCATGTCTCCCCAGAGTGCCCAGACCACACCTGAGTCTGTTCTGTTCTAGTCTGTCATCCTTGGGTTCCACCAGGCTCAACCTCTACAACTTGGTGCTGGCTCCAGTGCCCCAGCCCAGCTTCACCCCAGGCCAGTCCTGCGGGGCCTAGCATGCGTGTCCTGAGCCAGCGAGATGGGCTGGCCTGTACAGGTGCTGCTGTTCTGATGGTCTACCGTGCAGGCCCCCACCCCTGCTGAACCCCTCCTGACTCAGAGGATGGCCATATATAGAGGGGTTCCTCTTCCCACTGCTACCAGCCAGTGACCAGGATGGATTTCTGTCCATCACACCCCACTTCTGGCTCCTCTTACTTTTGCCACAAATTAACTTTTCTTTTCATTCCCCAAAGATCCAGTGAAAATTTCTGATACTGTAGCAAACACTTACTGAACTACTATGTGTATTAGTACTGTTCAGGCAACTTACATGTATTGCCTAACATCATCCTCACAAGTCTGAAATATGAAACATTTTCTTTGTTTTACACGGGAATAAACGGAAACACAGGATTAAGGGATACAGCGAGTGAGCCACAAGCAGAGGCGCCTGATTGCAGCCCACACTCCTCCTAGGCACTTGGGCTTCCAACTGCTTGCCCAGCTCTGACCCTTAACATTTCTAGAATCTTATTGACATTTGTCTCCTTACTCTGGTCCTAACCCCCATGTCTTCTCTCCCGGCCCTGGCTATCTTGTTCTCTGTTGCCTTCAGCCTGCTGGCAGAGGAAAGCTAAGGACTACAGGTTTGCACTGGGGAATCTGCAGAGTATGTGCATGGCATTGAGTTGACTGAAAATCCAACTAGGAACTTTCTTTAAGGCCCACTTTCTGGGTCTTCTCTCCCATTTCTGGGCCCATCTTGTCAGTTCTACTCTGTAGCCACCACTCCTGACCCCAGTCACAACTAAAGGATGCATCCTGACCCTTCCTGCCTTCTCTGCAGCCAGAGGTCACCCGGACTCTTTGCACCCATTATTATAGCTGCTGGAGAGCCAGCTTCTGCTTCAGCAAATGCTGCAGGGGGGTTGCCAGCGGGGTCACCTTCTGAGGATGGGTTTGTGGCCTTCTGAAGAGCCCCCCAGCCGCCTGACAGTCTCAGCCTCCCCTCGCTGAGCCCACATCAAGCAGCTGGGTTATAAAGAAGGGGAACTTGCTATTTAGAAGGGAACCAGAAAGAGCTGTCAGCAGGACATAAATATTCATAGAGGGAGGTTAGAACTTGAGTCCCTAAAACCTTGATTTGTGTTCGTCCGTTTAAGCCTCATTAAAAAGTAGTAAATGAAAGTGGGGATATTCAGTGGAACTGCAGATAAATTGGGCTTGTTCAGATAAAGGCCTCTGACTGCCAGCTCCACAGGCCCTGCCCAGAGCACAACGGCAGATTGGCTTGGCTACTTGTAGTTTGCCAACCTCAATTTAAAGATTTTGCTTAGCAGGAGTCCCTGGCCTTGCTCCCGGCCAGTTAGCGCTTGTTTGGGCACCTGGTAGCCTTCTAGGGGCGTTTAGGGATGGAAACCCCCAACCCTTTTCCCTCCAAGAATGACATGCATACCGTGGCCTGACCCAAGGGGTGGCAAGGAGAAATCTAACCTAGGACTAATACTTGCACTAGATGATCCACAAAGTCCCTATCTCTGTGCATGTGTAGTTGCTTCTCCTAACTTCTTCCACCTTCTATGGGCATAGGAGGCCTAAGTCCATCCCCTTGGCCCCAGCCATGCCCACCCTACTCCTACAAAGACTGCAGCGGGCCAGGCCGTGTGGCCATAAAGAGGAGACAAAAGGCCAACGTGCCTTCTAGGACACGAGCTACAGGGTCAGGCATCTCTAGGGGCCAGTCACATACATGAGTGGAATGGGTCAGTCTGGGCTAGACTTGAACCCCAGACTGCAAGTTTACACCATCTGTCCTTGGGGCTCCCAGAGTTTGGGAAGAAGAGGTTTGGATACACAAAGCCGGAGTGACCTAGTGTGTGCTCGGCCTCATGAGAGGACTGATTAGTTTGCTGGGGCAGGAGGCAGTAACCCTCCAGCAGAGAGGCCACACGGAGGAGGTCGAGCTTTAAGAATTAAACTTTGGAACCCTGCATGGAATTGGTTCTCTGATCGGCGTTTCTGCACCGTGGAGTGGGATCAGCCAGTCTCGGGTTCCTGAGGTGTTGGGGGTGCTGCTGTGAAGGGCGGGCCTCAGCAGCCTGAAGCACCTGCTCTTCTCAGCTCCGCCTCCCTGGCTCCACTGCCCTTCGCATCAGGCTGCTCCCGAGCTGGCTCCCCGAGCTCATTCCCTACGGCACCTACTCTGGGATGGCCTTCGGCCTCCCCAGGCACAGGCCCCATCTCCTGGTGGAGGCTGTTTCCCAGGACGGCCGTCCCTTTGGTGCCCATTAGCAGAGAAATGACACAATTAACCAGGCAATTAACTCAACGCTGTGCGGTTGCTCCCTCCCACAGGGCCCTGCTTCTGCAGGTCGATTTGGCAGCAGGCTGGGCTGCAGGGAAGGGGATAGATGGTGTATCATCTGTGCTGGGCATGGGGATGAGGGAAAATGGCTGACTCAGAATGGGTGCAGGCCAGGGGGAGGGGCAGAGACTGCTAGTGCAACTCTGACACTCGTCCCACACCTGCCTGGGACTCAGATTCGTACTTGCAATCACTGGTTACCAACTCTTCAGGGGCCACCCCGAAAGGGACTGGAGCAGAGAACTGACTCAGACCGATAAGGAGAGAGTGGTGTCCCACTCTGACTCTTCAGAGAACTAATTCTGTTTGGGGAGCCCTTTCTCCCATTTGTGAAATAGAGGTCATATTTGCTATTCCTCCCAGGGACGTGGTGAGAATGAGTTAAGTCAGGTAGAAAATTGAGCATTACGGGGCCCTCTGAACCTTCCCACCCACCGAAATCTAGGCTCCTGCCAGCAGGATAGTGGTTTGGGAAGAGCAGGCCCAGGCCCGGAGAGGAGGCCATTTAGACAGACACCTGGGGACAAATGGACACATGAACTTTCAAGGCCAAATGCATGATACCAGGACCCAGGCTTGGATGATCCAGTCTAGTATTTTATGTGTGACATTTTCCCACAACTCAAATTATTTTACCAAGTACACATCTCAAAAACTATAATCAAAACAAATAGGAAAACAGATAACTTTGGCAACCAGACTTTCAGAAGCTATTTTTCCCCACAATTTACAGCTACCTTGATGATGGGCAATATACTTTTGCTCAAGAACCCAATCAGAAAGAAACAAGTGTTTTTGAGCTGCATTTTTTTTTTTTACACTCAGTACTTTCTATTGATTCTCATGGAAAAATATATATTCCTACAACTTAGACTAATTTAAGATGAAGTGTTATCAGTGGGAAAAATACCTCTGTATTTTTGCCCCTAGATTCCTAATCACCCTTCCCTCACGTGTGTGGCAAGGCAGAGCCTTCCTGAAGCATCTCATTTCATTGCAGGACATGCTGCGTGGCAAGCATCTGCCGTGTTCAAAGCTCTGGTCAGCCCTGTGGTGGGGGCCCACCGGGGCATGTGCTGGGGAGACAATGAGAGGCTGCCCTTGTCTGCCTCCAAGCCATGATTTGGCCCCCTGGGTCAGGGCCGTTGTGAGACGCTGAGCAACACCCCCAGCCGTTTCCGGTGGGGCTCAGGCTGTACCATGTGGAGGTAGAGGACAGCATAACGGAAATGTTAGGGATGATGGGGTTGTCCAGAAAGACTCCTAGAGGCTTCCTCCTCTCCATCCCAGAATCCTGACTGTTTGCAAGCTGAAAGGCTCTGCTGCCCATCGCTAGCTGCTGGTGTGCCGTATGTTTCAGATCGATGGGGTGGAGGAGAAGCTGTCACAATGTCGAAGGGACCTGGAGGCTGTGAATTCTAGGCTCTGTGGTGCGGAGCTGAGCCCAGAGGCCAGGTAATGCTCCTGCCCCAGCCCTTCTTTAGCCCCCCCATATCTAACCTGGGCCCTGGCCCCGAGTTTCTGTTCTCTCCTCCAACTGCCACCAGAAACCTGGGCCCTTTTCCAATTTGCCCTGGTATGCCAGCTGCCCCTCAGGTGGGCAGAAGGAAAAGGGCTTGAGCCATGAAACTCCTTCCTCCTCACAGGAAGTCTCTGGAGAAGGAGAAAAACAGCCTGATAAACAGAGCCTCCAACTATGGTAAGAAAGTTCCCTTCTGCTACTTGCCCCACTCTTTAGTCCCAGGATCAGGAGGGATAGACAGCTCAAGGAGCCCACAAGGGACAGGAATCCAGGGGGTCCTTCAGGGGGGGTCAGCCTCCAGGCAGTCACAAGAACCCACTATAGACCCAGCAACCTGGAAGAGCAGCTTTGTTCTTTTGTGCCAAGGGCGATGGAGAGGCCGGTGAGACTGTTCTCCCTGGGATGAAGGGCTGTAGCCATGCCCAGAAAAGATTTTCACATCCACCCAGACTTGGGAGGTCTGTTTTCCCTGCCCCCTTCTCCCAGACTTACACTTCCCTAGGAAAACCGTGATGGGAGTGGGGCTGTAGGGGCCGTGGTGAAGGATGAACCTCCCACTTGGGTGCTGTAGGGCTACTGGAGTGGAGCAATGCTGCCACCTTCTGGGCACTGGGGGCAGAACCATGTAGAGCCCAGGCAGGGCACGGAGCTAGAGGGAGGCTGCTGGACACCCCCCCCTTCCCCCACCCTGCCCCTGCCAGTCTGGGAGGAAGATGGTCTGCAGAGGCTCCTCTGACTTGTCCTCCCTGAGGGAGCAAACCCGGCCAAGAACCAGCCCAGAAGAGTCCACATGGCAGGTAACCTTCCTGAGGGACCAGTTTGAAGAAACACTAAGCACAGGGCATGTGCGTGCACACACCCCTACCTGGGCCCTGGGCTGTCTGGCCTGCCCAGAGCTGGTTTGCAGGTCTCTCTCTCACACAGACAGAGGTGGGACATCAGTTCCCCCTCCAGCCTAGCAATTTCCACACACAACCGCAGCATCACCACTGATTTCAGCCCTCAGGGTATCCCCCACCTGCGTGTCACACGAGGGGATGAACGGAGACTGAATGTAGGGCAGGACTGGCTTCCTCTAGAGGCCCGGCCACCTCATGGCACAAGCTGCCTTCTCTTAGCATCCCTCATTCCTTGGCTGGCGTCCAGCAGAGGCAGGACTAGAAGCACTGGTGGTGTGATGCTACCCTATACCCGCCCCAGTGTCAGGCCCAGAGTTCCCAGCGGCCTTCAGGATCCCTAGTTGGCCAGATGAGACTCCTGGAAGGATGAGCACCACGGAGCCCACCCAGCCACAAGCGGAGGACTCGCCTGGTGATGCCATGCCACCACGTAGCTTGGTTTCATGTGTGGCCTTTTGGTGACCCCCTCACATATTCCATCCTCAACTTCACATGCATTTGAAGAGAAATGGTTGAGCAGCATTGAGTGTTTTTCTGGGGTTGGGGTCTGTAGCCAAAAGGGGGCGAGGATCAAGGGCAGTCATTTTCATAGATAAAGAAATGGCGGGTCTTGAACATCTCGGCTCTCAGCAGTGTGTGTACCCATTTGTGGGAGAGGCAGAGGCAGAGAATAGCAGGTGGGCCTGAACTATGCCCAACACCCTGTTTTCCTCCCAGAGAAGGAGCTCAAGTTGCTTCGGCAGGAGAACCGGAAGAACATGCTGCTCTCTGTGGCCATCTTCATCCTCCTGAGCCTCGTCTACGCCTACTGGACCATGTGAGCCCGAGATTCCTCCTGAGTCAGCAACCTAGGCTGCTCACAACCAAGCAGGCCCTTCAGGCCTTAAGAGGACCAAGGTGCAGGGGCATTTCTACCTGACCTAGACACCGACCAGACACCGGAGCAGGGCTTCCTGTTGGCCCAGCCCCTCCTGCCTTCGGTCTTGCTGGGGGCCTGGGTCTCCAGGATGTTGGCATGCTCCTCCCTTAGCCCAAGGGAGAGGCAATAAAGAACACCCGGGCTGCTCCTGTGTGCTGAGTAAATGTCACGGTCTGACTGCAGCTGTGAGTGGGGGTGCGCTGGGGCGGCACTCGGGAATCAAGGAAGAAGAGATGTTCAAGGGAAAGCTCTTGGCTCAGAACTCAGAAAGGAGAAGGGGAGGGGGGCTGTGAAGGTGAGCTCCCAGCCTAAGCAGGGGATAAAGAGACAACGAGAAGCCCTCTCCAAGCCAGAACTACACCGGGAGTCATTTCCAGGGCTTGGGCGTCGTGCCATGGGTCCACCACCTCCACCAAACACAGTCTCACCCTCATCAGGGCCACTGTCTGTAACTATGGCAGAAAAAATGCAGCCATGCAGCGAAGGGCAACCCGGGGACTTGAAGCGGTCACTTGGCAGTCCCACAGAGGCAAAAAGTTAATCCATCTTCAAGAGGCAGACAAGGCTGGTGGTCTGGTGGAGTGAGTGGGCAACAGGAGCCATGGCAATGACCAGCCAGACTTATGGTGACAGTGTGGCCAGTAAATCAGGCAGGATCTGCTGGGAGAAGCAGTAGAGGTGGGCTGACTGGAGGGGAGGCCGCAGCCACCAACAGTGACATCACATGCAGCCTGGGAGCACCTCCCCCAACCCTACTCCCAGCACAGGGCCCAGGAGTCCAGAGTGGGAAGCAGAGCAGAAGAGGGCAACCAAAGGGCGAAGGGCTCGGGAATGGAGATCACCCCGTTTAAGTAGAACATGGAAGGGAGTTGCCCTGGGAGCTCAGGAAAGGACCCATGAAACCAGGGTGAAGGAGCCAAGCAGCAGACAGGAGGAAACCAGCACCAGTGACGGCCCTGGTGAAGAAACTAGCCTGGAAGGGAGCAGGAGGTGCCATCAGCACCTGCATGTCCCCCACCCCCAAGGACAACCCCCAGTGCAGGTGCAGATGCAGAAAGGAGGGATGCTGGCTGGGAGTCAGCGAAACCATCTCTCCCTCCCTCCCTTCCTCTGGTCTAGTGGTACTAATTGGTCTGACACCTCTGTTATTTTAGTCACACAGACCGATCCTGGAGTGTCACAGTACCACCAGAGCGAGCTGGGTGATTTATGTAAGGGGGAAGGTGCCTCCCTACCCTGCTGGGCCGTCGGCTCATTCATCCTCCAGCGCTGGTTTCTACATGAGCTGCATAACTTCCCCACTTCCCTGGGCCCCTCTCTGGCAGCAGGCAGCAGGCAGCAGCTCTGGGAGCCCTGCGCTTGGACGAGGCTCTGACCAAACCAACCCTCGCTGCTCCCAGCACAGCTTCCTCCCCTTCACCTTCAGCCCCAGCTGCTTTATCCAAGCCAGTCGCAGACCACAAAGCACCAAGGACAACCAGTAGCAGCCCCAGCACAGAGCCACACAGGCATTAAAAATATGTTCATCTTTAATGATCCAAGATTTTGCAAGACACACAGATATGCCCAGAAGTGGGTGGAAATACAACATTTTAGCAGTGCTGCTGCCAACCCGATGAGAGGGGGCACTGGATACTGGCTGGAGACACCCCCCACCCCGAGGTGGAGCCAATTCCAACCTTACAGGGAGCCTCAGTGCCCTGTCTCCATGGAAACCAGTCTAGCATTGGGACGGGGCCCTCGGGAGCCTGTATGAACATCTGACAGGTATTTCCCAGTAAAAACAACCACCCATGCCCTCCCCACCCAAAGCTACAGCCCAGCTTCCCCTCTTCCCCCTCAGCCACCACCATAGAGGAAATAGAGTGACTATAAAATGACAAAGGTGACTGTACCCCTTTTGGGGAAGGGATAAAGGGTAGCAAGGTGGCTGTAGCAAATGAGGGTGCCATGATTGCCAGAGGGTAGGGTGCAATCCCACCCCAGAGGCACCCTCTGTTGCAGTGGGGCCACTGCTGCTGGGGCATGGAGAAGGAAAGGCAGGGCTTGGAGGGTGCTCCTTCCCTTCTAGAGCATTCCAAGGTTCGGGTCAAAAGGGGATGGGGCCCAGGGAAGGCTCTATCACCCCAGGAGGCAGTCATATCCACTACCTCCCTTCCCGGCCTGCGGGACTGTCAGAGGTCTGGGCTGAGAAGTCCAGGGAAGACCAAGACAGGGTGGGGGGAAAGGAAATCTTTTCCAACTTGGCATCAAAACAGAGCAAGTTCAAAGAAACAAAACCTTGATTTGTACAGCAGCTGCGCCTGGCCAGCTCACGACAGTAGGCCGTCACCCACTCAGGGTGGCCCAGTAAAAAGGTGGGCAAAGCTGGGGCATGGCCGCCCTCAGGGCAGTGCACAGAACTCAGAAAAGTGAGTCTACAGGATACAGAAGAAAACATCAGAGCTAAAGCCCTGCTGCCCTCTGACACGTCCTCCACTGGCCCCACGTGCCCCGGGCCCTGACCGCACACCCGCCATAGGAGCGTCTTTCAGGCCGAGTCCTGGCAGGGAGACAGTTCCCAGGCAGGTCTCGGGGAGGGAAGTCTAAAAGGTGTCCCAGAAGGAACATATGAGTGTCCTCTGAAGGTCCCCGACTGAGATCTTCAGGGGATATGGAGAGACCGCCCACCCCTCATGGCCAGGCTGCAGTGACTGTGCTCCCCTGTCTCTTTCGAGAGAGGGAGGGTGCAGGCAGAGCACCCTGACTCTGAACAACAGGACGTTCAGCAGGAGTGGGCGTCCCTGGGCCTCAGGCGCTGTGGGTCTGGATGAAGGTGAGGACATCCTCCTTGGACAGCTTGTCTGGGTCCTGGGGCTTCTGGGAGTCATGTACACTGATGCCATCCCCCCAATCCCAGAAGAGCCGGCCATAGTAGCAGATGCTGGGAAGGAGAAAGGAGGTCAGAGGGCTGCACCCAGGTGGAGCATGACCAAGAGAACACCACCACCCTGCCCCTGGCAACTATGGCTTAGGGGGTGAGTGTTCTTAAGGGGGGCAGGGACCCTTTCCACCCAGACCCCCACCATCACAGCAGGTCCTGGCATCACACCTCACCCAGCCTACTACCCAGGCTCAGCCACACCCTCTGCACCCTTATGGGGAGGAGCCTGGCCCTTGCTCAGGGAAGCCCCTGCAAGGACAGTAGTCGGTCTCAGGACCTGGGCTGTGCCCCAAAGGACTGTAGCATCCTGGCAGTCACGGACCTGGGGCTGCTGAGGGACAGGCCTGGAACAGGGCTACTTACTGAAATGGGGCAATGGCATCTGCAGGGAGCTCATAGGTAGAGAGCTTGGTTTTCTTATTATAGAAGAACTTCCTCTTAAAGCTTTTGCTGAATCCCATAGTCCATGGCTCTGACAGGAGGAAGAGGAGAAGCAGCCCAGAAAGGACACAATACCCATGGACAATAGGTCAGGCCAATGCAGTCCCCTCCCCCAAAGTGCAGGCAGAGCACAGCCTGTGAGGATGCAGCCTTCACCACCAACCCACAGGGGCGCCAGAAGGACTAAGATAATTACTTAACAACCCCACCCAGTCCTGCCAGCCTGCACCAGGGCAACATCTCTGGGGCCCTGGCAGAGGGAGCAGGACTCAGTTAACCAGAGGGCGCTGAAGAAGGGGATTCTCTAGGCGGTGCAATGGCCAAGCCTGACTTTCTGGATGTGCTGCTGCCCTCTGAGAACATCCTCTTCCTGCCATGAGCACACCATGTGCACACAGTGGGCTTTCTTCCCAGCCCCCAACTGACCCCCAGGATCCACTGACCAGAAGAGGCTCAGGACACACAATCTCCCCACCACTATACACCTCAAAGAAATGCCAGCCTGGCTGCTACCCACATTCATAGGGAACCCTTAGCTCTGGCACAGGCAGGATCTGGGCCAATCACCCTGACTGATGGAGGTGGGGACAGGGAACAGTCACTATCACCCACCGTTCACTGTCCTGACGATGTAGAGACCAGTGGGCACAAAGTGCCGGTCGTCCCGCCCTGTGTAGCTGAGCTTCGGTGTGCCACTGAAGCCCTTGATGATCTTCATCTCTAACCTGAGTGCTCCAAGCAGGCGTGCAAACAGGAAGTGTGAGTGTGCATAAGAAGGAGAAAGGCCTAACATTAGTCTCTTGCTATTATCAAAATCACATTAACCACAGTATTTTATCTCAGTTCAACATAAGAAACTGAGGCAGAGACATGAGTCAACTGTTCCAAGCCACATTGCAAGTGCGTTTGTACAAGGCTGGGAATCAGAACTCGGGCTCAGGCTCAGGCTCTGACCTTCCAACTAAGTAATGGAGGCAGGGGAGTGGCAGATGTCCCTGACAGACTGCTGCTGTTGAAGTTTCAGGGATAAGATCTGACACCACAGTGCCACTGGTCTACAGTCCACCACCCATGGCATCACTGTGACCAGTAAAGAGTTAACAAGAGGTCACTGAGAGCTGAGGCCATAGCAGGTGCACACCCAGGATGAGACCCACAGATCTGAGCACCCCCAACACAGCTAAAAATCCAAGGAAGCAGTTATGCCCCCCTGCCCCTCCAGGCTCAATCTGTCAGCACCAGGAGCAGGGATTTATAGTGTTTCAAGCAGCTTTCTGCTCTGCCCCTCACAGGGACAATCGTAACTATTACAGCATCAATGAGCTCATATTTCTGCCTGACACACCCGCCTGCTCCCCTCCTGACGGTGCTGAATCAGCTCTCAGCCGGGGCTCTTGGCTGCAGAGGAGCCACACTGCACCGAGGCAAGGGAGGTAGGGGTAAAGGCGCCTGCCAGGTGACTCACCACCCACCCCAATCTCTACAAAAAAATAGCAAATCCTGGCCACTGGTATGACCCCACATCAACTCCTCTCAAACCCTGAGCTACCCTGGTTGAGTCACTCACCTGACAAAAATCTTCTCCATTTCCTCCAGCCTGTACACCTCCTTCACCCTGAGAGCAGAGGGATGGAGAGAGGATGACAAAGGCTTCCTGGGGATACATGACTGTCCAGACAGCAGCGGGGAGGCAGGAGCCTGTGCCTGTCCCTGCCCTCTGCCTCCGGCCCCGGCACCACCCAACCCTTCAAGAAAGTGAACGCCCAGCCTGTGGCACTGCTGTCCTACACGGGCAAACCCTAGGTTTCAGAGCTGCCAAGCATCCTCCCGGGCCCACCCAGGGCAACCAGGGAGTGTAACTATGGTTATGGAAGACAAGAGGGAGTGGAAGGGCTGGTAGACAAAGATGTCTCCGCCAGCATCCCACCCGTTCGTCATTACTGTTCTCAGAGGCCAGAACACAGGTCAGGCTCTTGCCCACATCTGCCTCATGGACTTCCGGCCTTCCTGTACTAGTTACTGCCAAATAGTGCCAAAGGCCCATTGCCGCAGGCGGCATGGGACTCCTTCCCAGAATGCAGGTCTGTTGATGCCCAGCCCTCCACCTCTGGGGGCCCTTGAACACACCCTGGGAACTGCCAGTGGGGAAGGTCCCCAGAGACCCAGCTACCAGGCCACTAGCAACAGAGGCAAGGTCCCTGGGAGCTGCCTCTCAGGACCAGGCAGGCAGGACATTCGCAAGTGCAGAAAGAAACTTCTTTTAGAGTTTCAGAAGACATCCATACAGTGCATTCTCAGTACTGGGTTTAATTTTAACTAAGTAAATTCATATTAAAGAGAATAATAAAAACTATTTTGACAAAGTATAAATAGACATTTCCGTCTCTAGTCACATGAAGACCCAGAGGTGCTAACTACAGACCTTGGCCCAGCAAAAAAAGCCTGTTCTCCATCTGTCTGCCCACCGACTGTTCTCATCCTCCTCTCCTCCCTCAGGGTCCTGGAACTTTCACACAACATGACGTGGCAGCTCACCCTGGCCTTCTTCCCAAGCACCAAGGATCCCTCCCTCAAACCATCCTCCTCTTTTTCATGTTCAAAAACTCCCACTCCTTCAGCCCTTTTCTCACTGGGAAAAAAATGGAAAAGGCCAGGTGATATGCTAATGATACTCCAGTGTGAATGTGTGCCTCACAGGTGTGTAAACGCTCTCAGAACCACGTGCATCCGAAATGAAGACACCTAAGCCCTAGGAATGACTCCTATGCAGGTGCACCCACTGAGACAAGCAGGATGGGGTTACTCTGGGGTGAAGGGCCCACCTACCTAGCACCCCCAAATCACTTGTCAAGGGCAGTCTTCTCTCTAACACCAACCTTGCTGGGTCCTCTCCAATAAGCCCTCCCATCCCCTACAGGATGGGGAAGGAGGCCTTGGCCAGAAAGAAGTAATAAGGAAGGGGTTTTGGGAGGGGAAGAAGATATGCTCACCTGATGGGATTCATGTCAGGCCGACTAGGCTTGGAAACAGCTCTCACAAATTTCTCAGCGAGCTGAATTCTACAATCCAAACAGAATACTCAGACACAAGCAAGATGCCCCAGCAGCACCCCCACCCCAGGGCATTTGCACAGCACCAGCAGGGCGCACTCCTGAATCTGCAGCCAAGCTGCTCCAAGAGGCAGCACTCCTGTCCCTCAGGAGGCTCCCCGCCCAGCTCCACTGCCGTCTGTGCACGCCCCTCCCTCTCGCTGGATGCTGCTAATTCCACTGTATCTTGGTGCCCTCACCAACCAAACTCTGTTTGGACTGTGCCCTGAGCTGCACTCAGGCACCTCCTCCAGAACATCAATATCATCTTTACTGTAAACATCACCCCAAACTACAGATACCACAGAGCCCTCACTCAGATGAACAAGAGGAGTGACGTTAGCATCGTGGCAGTGCAAGACGCCCCTCCTTTTCGCAACTGATTCGGCAGGCACCACCAACCAAGGTGCCTCTATGGGAGTTCAGGGATCCAGATGAACCGACGTAAATGGGACCGCCCAAGCATAAAACACGTTCTTCAGAGCCTCCCCTTCTCTCCTTAAGGCTACCTCTTGCTCAATCTTAACACAAATACCACCTGTGATCTGAACAGCTGTGGCAAAATAGGAGTGTGCTGGTATCTATGACCAGCAAGGCCCAAGCCCTGGCAAACTATGAAGTGCCAGCACCAATTTCTCACCCTGCCCTTGGAACCAGCCCCTGGGTGGAGGAAGGAAACCCTACGGATGTCCTTAAGCAGAGAAGGCCCGGATGAGGGGCCGAGCCTTGGAGATTGCTGCCACAGAGGTGCTCTGGTCCACCCCACCTCCCTCCCCCAGGGCCCAGGTCAAACCGCTGGTTGAAGTGCTGCTCCCGCACGTCGCTGCCGTTCAGCACGAGGACATCGAGGATGTGGATTGCACTAATCTTCCGCTGGGCCTTCCCCTAGAAAGACAAGTACACTGCCCACCCTGCCAGGCATCGGCCTGGGGCCCACTCTGCCCACCACTGTACCTGTACGCAGTAAGGGAAGGGCTCCAAACACAGGATTTCTTTGGCCTCCCTCCCAGCTTATTCTCAGCACTAGCCCGGCCCAGGCTTCTGAGCATGCAGATCTGAGGCTGTGGGTGACGAGCCTCCTTGAATCTCAAACCCAGTGAGGCTGCTACCATGATGCTCTAGCCAAGGGCCTGGCTTCCCACCCTTGCCCACTGTTCCCACTGACTGTTCTGAAGGTCACCTATATGGCTGTAACATTCAAAGCTCATGGGAAAGTCACTTCTTTCCAAAGGGATCCCTGGTCAAAAACTAAAGCAGCAACTAAAAAATACCCAGCAGGCCCACCGGGGCCCTCGATGCACAGAGACAACAGAGGTCTCCTCCTTCACATATGGAGACTGTGGTCCTTCCTACCTGAACCTACCGTGCCCACTGCATGAGGGGAAGGAGTAATCACCAAGCCTTCCCCTGGCCCTGGGCCTGTCAAGCACCACATACAGTGTAACCCAGTAACTCAGGGAAAAGGGCAGGTTCAGCTGCGCCCCAGTTTCCTAGCAGGCAGGGACAGGACACGCAAGCAGGACCACCTCTGACCTCCCCTTTCAGCTCATGGACAATCTCCACAGAGAGCAGAGTGTCCCGGGGTAGCTCTGTCTTCAGGTCTAGCTTGACCCAGCGGTTTGACTGACGGCCATCCCATGTGTAGATCTGTGACTTCTGTGGGCAGAGAGAAAGGCCGGGGTCAGGCAGGCATGGAGACTGAGGGGTGAGAGGCTCAGTTCTTTTTTTTTTATTCCTCACCTGAGGATATTTTCCTATTTATCATTAGATAGAGTGTGAGGGAGGGAGAGAAAGAGAGAATCATCGATGTGAGAGGAACACATCGACTGGTTCCCTCCGTGTCACTTGACCTGACCAGGGCCGGAGATGAACCACAACCGAGGTCTGTGCTCTTGATCAGAATCGAACCCACGACTCATTGGTCCACAGGCCAACGCTCTAACCGCTGAGCCAAACCAGCCAGGGCAAGAGGCTCAGTTCTTTTTTTTTAAAATTGATCAATTAATTTTTGTTACAGATGTTTCTCCTTTTCCCCACCGACTGATTCCCCCCTTCCCCTCCCTCCCTGCCCTGTCCCCAGCTCTGTTGTCCATGTCCATTGTTCATGCACACATGCATACAAGTTCTGTGGTTTATCTCTCCCCCACCACCCCCTCTTCTGGGGAATGTCAGTCTGTACCCCACTTCCATGTCTCTGGGACTACCCCCTTCCTCAGACTGTTATGTTCATTATATTCCACAAATAAGTGAGATCATATGATACTTTTCTTTCTCTGTTTGGCTGTTTCGCTTAGGATGACATTTTCCAGGTCCAAGAGGCTTAGTTCTTAAAAGGGCTTTTAGTTGGTGGCTACGAGCTGACGAGGCTGGAAAATGTCTAGGAGAGATCAGTTGGCTGTACTTTGGTGGGAAGATGGTGCTGTCCTCCACAGCCTCGGTGGAAGAGAAGTGGAGCCCGCAGGAGTCGGAGTAGGGAACAGACCCAGGGCACCATTCAAAAGGTCTGAGCCCTCGAGAAAGATCCAGCTTAGTGTGTATGTCTGAGGTGGGTTTGGTGAAGGGCCCAGAGAGCAGAGAAGGGAAGAGCAAGTAACAAGAGAAGAAGATACAGTGTGAGAGGACACAGAGAAAGTAAGTGAGGAAGACAACATAAAATTATATAGAAAAGACAAGTCAGAGTGGAAAGAAAGAGCAATGATGACTTGACCCAATCACGAAAGAGAGCAAACTGCCAAGGATTTCCTTCAGCTCATGTTAGACTCCAAAAGCCTCAGAGAAAGGACAGGCCATGTCTTTGCAAGAAGGGGTGACATGGGGTGGTGGTGGTGTTGCAAAGAAACAGCTACACAGGCTCAAGCCAGATTAGCCTGCTGGCCATTCCTCCAGCCTAGGAAGCTCCACACCACCGGAAACAGGCAGTGTTCCCTTGAGCAACGCACAGAGATGAATAAGCCAATACATAATAAATGAAAGAAAGAATGAAAACACTTGGCTATCTCAGAGGAAGAAAGGAAGTGGTTTCAAGAACTACCTTCCCTGAGGTCAAAGCCCAAGTTCCTCCACCAGGAGAACATGCAATGAGTGTGCGGGCAGCCGTCCAGATTCCCACGGACAGAGGCAGGTTCTGCCGCCCCCACTGGGCAGGAAGTCAGCTGCAGACTTACCCCCAGGCCGAGGAGGAACTTCTGCTCACTGCCAGACACCATGCAGCGGTAGTCGAGCACTGGGCGGATCTTCTCCAAGGTTTTGGAGGTGAGCAGCGTGGGCTTATAGCTGAAGATGTCAATCTCAGTGCCCTGCAGCCCCGGGTCAGAGAAAACACGGCTGGGTTGGGGGAAGGGACAGGCGCTCAGTATGGGTGCCTGTATAGGAGCGGCGCAGGCAGGGAGACATGAGGGACAGGAAGCAACTTGCTCTCTGAAACATCCCCTCCTGCACCCCTGCTCTCTCTAACCAAGCACTGACTGGGATCAATTCCATCTGCCTGGAGTGTTTCTTTAGGACCGATTAGGGAAGGCTGGAAAAGGTAACAATGCGAAGTCTCCAATCACCAGAATATAAAAGTCACCCCTTCAATAAAACTGGAGGCAAGGACTCATCAGCAATGGATTTGAGAGCAATTAAGTGATCTCTCCACCCCATTCAGAAAAAGGACACATACTATTCTTCTGAGGCCATCTTCAACCTCATTCACAAAACCAGCACAATGACCCTCAACCTGGGCCAGACTGAAATGAAACCCCAAGGAAAGCTGGAAGTTGGATGGTAGAAGGAAAACAGGACAGAACTCCCAGGGCCAGCTCACCAGAAACGGGACAGGGAGCCCGGCGTTAGGCCAGACCCACTGCAGAGCTCTTCTGGCAGCCCTCTTGGCCCTCTGCCCAGCGCCCCTGCCCCGGACCTTCCCACACTTTGTGTCTCCCCGACAGGCAAATCTCATGGGACCCTAGACTCACCAGGGTGACGGTCTGCACCATCGTTTGGGCGGGAGGAATGCTGAGCACAGTGTACCTCAGGACAAGACTCCGGGCAGCCTGACTGGCCCTAGGGGAACTCAACACCCTACACCACAGGCCCCCACCTTTGCCCGGCCTAGTGGTGCCTGCACAAGCCCTCTGGAGGCCAGGCATCTGGGTCTCAGTGATTCCTTCCACATCTAACTTTTTATTTTCACCAGATACCAAACTTACCTGGATTAGCTCAAAGAATTTAGATTTTGGGTCTGAGGAAGAAGGAGCAACTCGAGCCTGGTCTGGGATCTGAAAAGAGAGAGCAAAGAGCTTTGATTTTCAAATGTACTTTTGACCAAGGCTGTGTTCGTCTCTGCAGGCGAGGGGACGGGTCAGACTGGGGAAGCGGAAGCGGCACGCAGCACAGGAGGCTAGAAGAGCGAACGGAGGTGGACAGTGCAGTCGCTGCTCCCGTTCAGGCCCTGCAGCAGCATCAGTGCCACTTCCTGTCCTCTGGGGCTGACTGTGGTCAAGTGTCGCTGCTGAGGGCCACCAGAAGCAAAAGGAGGCCTGTTCACACACCACCCTTTTCCTTTATGAGCCAGCTGCAGAGCCAAACGGGCAGTGGAAGGGCCAGCTGGCACCAGCAATGCTGGGACTCGCAGCTCTGGAACGCTGGGAGGGCACGCGGACATTTTCATGGGGTGGAAGACCTTAAGGTGACATGGCTGGGAGTCAAACCTATTCTTCTCTACAGCTTCCCTGCCCTGGAGGAACAATAGGCTGGGGTTGAGATGCTCACCCCCCAAAGACGAAGGCACTGTTTCCGGATTTCTGCCTGCCGAGGCTCACTCAGAGTCCTAGGAAAATGAAGTCAGTAAGTGATTAAAACCTCCACGAGGCACAAGGAGTGTGCCTCCTGTGCGTCCCTCAGGAGCCCGGAGAGAGGAAGCCCACGTGCATGAACATGTGTGCACACACACAGGCCACAGGGCCACTAGCCGAGTGCTCATCAAATGCGCATGACTCTGCCTCTTGAAGATGGGAATACAGGTATACACAAATGGGACGACCTCCCCTTACCCCACAGGGGGAAAGGAGAGGCTGCCCTCCTGCCACCTGGATGCCAGGGTTCCTCACACACCCTTCCTCCAATGACCCAGCGGTACATTCTGGCTCCTCCTCTGATGACACAGGCCATGATAACTCCATCCCAGTGGACATCACTATAGCTCAGAAAGCTGAATTAGCTTATGCTTACCCCTACCAGAGGTTTTCCCTAACCAGTCCTAACTTTCCTCTCTGATCACTCTGTATGCTGTATCTCCTGCATTATGTATGCTACACCCTCTGGTACACTGTTAATAACATTTCCTGTATCCTTTTCCTAGGATACTCTTATCTTCCCAAAGACATCACAAAGTCTTTGAGGGCAAGGTTCATGCCCTTTTCTGGCATGCTTCACAGATCATAGCAGAGTAGGAGATAAAAGAGTACATATTTTTAAATGTTTGTTGAAATGACATAAACCAAGCTCAGAGGGAGGAGCAAAACGAAGAGATCTTCCCTTGAAGTAGGTGAATTCTGGAAAGTGAGAAGACTCACGTGTCTTGAACAAAGGCACGGATTTTGGCCAGAGCTTTGATCTGCAGACTACAGTAGCTAGAAGAAAAGAAACAAAATTGATCTCAGGATTACCAAAAAAGATAGCCAAAAGACATCAAGACAGAGAAGTTTAGCAGGAGCATCTATATCTGGGGGAAGGGCTGGAGAATTCAAAGAGAATCCCCTCAACCACACCCCAAAGTACACTCACACGGGAGAAATGAGTCAAACCCTTCATACACTCAGATCCCAAGTCCTGATAAAAGGAAGGTGCTGACCCCATCCTTACTAATGTGAAAGCAGTGGTGATCTGATTCTAAATAAAGCAACAACAAAGCCCAGACCCAGTCTACAGATTAAACTGACTCAACCCACCTCCATTAACAACTGCCCTTTCTACTCTAGTCTCCATTGTTCTTTTACATACACTGTCTGGCATTTAATAAAAAACATGAGGTGTGATTAAACAAGAAAATGTGTCTCACTGACAAGAGAAAAAACAATTCAATAGAACAAGACCCAGAGATGCTCCAAATGTTGGAATTACCAGACAAGGCCTTTAAAATAGCTAAAAAACATGTTAAAGGACCTACTGGAAAAGGTGTATAACATGCATAAAAACATGGAGAATATCAGCAGAAATATAGAAACTATATTTTTAAAAAGCAAGTAAGCCTTGGCAGGATGGCTCAGTTGGTTGGAATCTCATCCTGTACAACCAAAAGGCTGCAGGTTCGATTTCTCGTCAGAGCACATACCTAGGTTGTGGATTTGATCCCCAGTAAGGGCTCATACAGGAGGCAATGGATTGATGTTTCTCTCTCCCATCGATGTTTGTTTGTCTCTCTCTCTCCCTTCCTCTCTCTCTAAAATCAATAAACATATCCTCGGGTAAGGATTATAAACCAAAAAAACAAAAAGCAAATAAAACTTATATACATGAAATATATATTAGAGATAAAGAATGATTTTGATGGACTTATCAGCAGACTGAATACAGTAGAGGAAAGAATCAGTGAACTTGAGGACAGACAGAAACTCAAACTGAAACATAAAGAGAAAAAGTGAAAAACCTAACAGAGCATGTGGGCTCTGTTGACAATAACAACAAGTTTAACACAAATATAATTGAAATCTCAGAAGCAGTGGAAAGAAATTGGAAAAAAATATTAACAAGTCAATAAGAATTTCCCCAACCTGATGAATGAAATCAATCTATAAACCCAAGGTAGAAGAACCCCAAGCAGAATCCATACAAAACAAAAAACAAACAAACAAACAAAAACATATAAACATATTATGGTCAACATGCTGGAAACAAGATGAAGAGAAAATCATGCAATCAGGGGAGAAAGGACACAAGACACAGGCAAGCAGTGGGAAGAATAATGGCTGACTGCTCATCAGAAAACAAGGAAAGCAGAGAATATCTTTAAAGTCCTGGGGTGTGTGTGTGGGGGGGGGGGGGCATTGCCAAATTTGAAATCTGTATCAATGAAAATATCCTCCAAAAGTGAAAGAAAAATAAAATATTTTCAAAAGACAAAGCTGCACCAAGAGATCACTGGTTCAATTCCCAGTTAGGGCACATGCCCAGGTTGTGGGCCAAATCCCTAGTGGGAGGCATGCAATTGGCAGCCAATCAATGTTCTCTCTCATCAATGTTTCTCTCTCTCTCTCTCCTTCTCTCTTCCTCTCTCCCTCAAATCAATAAAGAAAAAAAATTAAAAAATAAATAAAATAACAATAATGGCAATGTAAAGTTTTCTATAAAACAAGAGCAAAAAGGAAGAAAAATTGTAAATGCATATTTACTGTGGCAAAGTTCTCGCACTGTTCATGAAGCAGCAGAATACTTTTTGAAGGTAAACTACGATAAATTAAAGACGCCTATTGTAATCTCTCTAGAGTTAACAACTAAAACATAACAAACAAAAGGCATAAAAAAATTTTAAAGCCCAAGGAGATAAAAAGAAATACTACTAAAAAGTACGGAATTTGCGCCCTGGCCAGTTTGGCTCAGCAGTAGAGCGTAGGCCTGCAGACCAATGAGTAGAGGGTTCAGTTCTGGTCAAGGGCACATACTTTGGATGCGGTTCATCCCCAGCCCTGGTCAGAGTCATGCGGGAGGCAACCAGTCAATGTGTCCCTCTCACATCGTTTTTTTCTCTCTCCCTTTTTCTCCCTCTCTCTTCCTCCTAACTGACCAAATTAACATCCACAGAACACTATCCTCAACAACAGCAGATGGAATATTCACCAAGACAGATCATAGGATGAGCCATAAAAAAGCTTCAATATATTTCAAAAGATGAAAATCATACAGAATATATTCTGAGTACAATGGAACAAAATCTAACAGGTATCTTAGAAATCTCAAAATATCTGGATATTAAATATCACACATCTACATAATCTATAAATCAAAGAAGAAACCATAAGGGAAATTTTAAAAATATTTTGAACTGTGTAACGATGAAAAAAGATAACATATCAAAATGTAGGAGATCCAGTTAAGCGGCTCTTAAAGGAAAATTTAATATAGATATATTTAAATGCTATAATTAATTAAATAAAAGGGAATTATTAATTCCCTTATTCTCTTACTTTGGGCTTAATTTGCTCTTCTTTTTCTAGCTACTTTGTTTTTAAACTCTTTTTCTTTCTGTATATTTATGTATTAATAACAGAATTATTAAGGGAAACTTATTTCATTTAAATATTCATATAGATTCAAACCAGACAAGAACTTCAAAAGAATACATATTTAGAGACTAATATCCCTTATTAAAAAAGACACAAAAATCAATAAAATATTAGTAAATCAAATATAGCAATATATGAGTGGTAACTCATGACCAGCTCCCAAGTTTATCCAAAAATGCAAGATTTGTTTGACATCTGAAAATCATCAATGTAATTCACTATTAAGTGAAATTAAAAAGAAAAATAATTTCTATAGATACATAAAATATATTTGACAAGATTAAACATCTATTCGTGGAAAAAAAAACAAAAAAACAAAACAAAACCTCAGGAAATAAGGAATAGAAGAAAACTGTCAACCTGATAAAAGATATCTACAAAAAACCTACAGCTAACATCATAGTTAATGGTTAATTATTTTACACTTCAAATCAAGAACAAGGCTGGGATGTCTGCTCCCATCACTTCAATTCAATATCATACTGGAGGAACCAGTAAGTGCAATGAGGTAAGAAAAAAAATCTACCATTAGGATCCAGCAATTCCACTTCTGGGTATTTATCCAAAAGAACCAAAATCAGAATCTTTTTTTTTTTTTATCCTCACCTGAGGACATTTTTGCATTAATCTTCAGATAGAGCAGAAGGGAGAGAGGGAGGAAGAGAGAGAGAGAAAGATCAATGTGACAGAGACACATCGACTGGTTGCCACCCACACGACCCCAACCGGGGTCAGGGACAAACTGCAACCGAGGTACGTGCCCTTAGCGGGAACCGAACCCGGGACTCTCTGGTCCACAGGCCAACACTCTAACAGCTGCGCCAAACCAGCCAGGGCTGAAGTCAGAATCTTGAAAAGACATTAGCATCCCCGTGTTCACTATAGCACTATTCGAAATAGCCCAGATGTGGAAACATTCTAAATATCCACTGACAGATAAATGGATAAAATGACCTTATTTGGCCCCCTAAGAAAGCACTTCTGTTGATTCATTACTACTATATAACTCTCCAGCCTACCTCAAAAAACTTTTTCTTAATGTCTGTCCACCTAGAAAACTGAGCCAAGCCCTGGCCGGTTTGACTCAGCAGTTAGAACATCGGCCTGCGGACCAGAGAGTCCCGGGTTCAGTTCCTGCTAAGGGCATGTACCTCAGTTGCGGTTTGTCCCCGGCCCCAGTTGGGGTCATGTGGGTGGCAACCAATCAATGTTTCTCTCTCTCTTCCTCCCTCTCCCTCCTGCTCTATCTGAAGATAAATGCAAAAAAAGAACACTGAGCCAACTGTTACAACTTTACATTATTACCGCTAACAGGAAGGAGGAAAAACAATTAAACAAGGTTAACAACAACAAAAAAACTGCACTCAGATCACCCATCTGGGGAACTCATGAACTGGCAAAAGTTTTAGTATCAGAAACGTCCAAAGCATGTCATATACTTGCTTTCTAGCTACCTCCTGCCTTGAAACAGAGGCTTCACAAAGCAGCACCCTTGTGACATGGCAGGGGAGCAAGATGAGGGTCCCCAAGGTACTCTAAGTCCCAGGGAGCCCTGGAACAAGCAGACCAATCCCAGTTACCAATTTTTCAGGGTTGACAAAGTGATACCAAGATCCAGTCATTTAGTCCTTCATTCTCTGGTCTTCCTTGATACCCTAGTAGTACAAAACCACCTGGTTTGCTTACCTCTCATTGGACCGTGTCATGTAGTCGGTAAATTCATGGTCTCCCTTGATCACCTCCAAGGGAACCACAAGATTGACATCGGAATCGCTGTTCTGAAGCTGGTTGATTTTAATATTGACTGAGAAGAGGTAATCCCGCACGTCATCTATGCCCACCTTCAGGCCCTTGCACACCACATACCTGGCAGGAGAAACCTTGTCACTCAACTGAGCAAGGACTTCCCCGCCAACATTCCTCCTCCCCAAGTCCCTTGCTGAGTCATGAAGCTCAATAGCCTTAAGTCCATGCACAAAGAACAGCACAGACTCGATGCTGCAAAAGTTCACCTCAAATCCTTCCCTTTTATGTGGGGCTGTATTTCTACTCTTTATTACAGTGGTTCCCATCACCTAGATCACCATCACCTGGGGAGTCTATGAAACTATAGACCTCATCAATCAGACTCTCCAGGTATGGGGGGAAGAGTCTAACTGTGTTTTTAACAAGCCACCAGCAATTCGGATTGGCCGCATCTTCTCTCACATCATGCATGGGCACTGTGTCCCACAGTGCTTATGGCTGGTGACCCCCTTGCCCTGCCCCAATCCATGTCGCTTCTCTAATGATCAACTTCTCCCTCCTGGGGCAAGCCAAGGATCCTCCATAATAAGTGTGGTGAATAGGCTTATAGAGAAGGAGGCAGAGGCAGAACTGGCATATTACAGAACCAGTAAGATACAAATCCTGACTCCTCTTGGCTTTAATCACTTCTTTGAAGTCAAGGTTTTTCATGTAGCTTGAGTGGCCATGCCAGAGAGATGCTGCTCTGTCAGTTCCTCATGGCGCTCTCTGGATTTGTGTGCTGACATTTAGCCAACTAGTCTGATTAAAATGGAGAGGGAAACCTCACCTCTCTGAGTTGGCAGGACGGCTGGTAATCGGCTTAAAGAGACATACTCGTTCAAAGCAGCAGTATAGCAGGTAGATGAGCCCCACACTGAATGGTGTGAACAGGTCAAAGGTTTTACAGATGAAGTGGCCTCCTGGATTAGAGGGAAAACACCAATAGAAGTCAGTGGGTTCTAGTCCAGAAGGTAGGTAAAGTAATCTCAGGAGTAACTATGACTAAGTCAGGGACTCAAAGCCTGAGTCCATTAAAAATCAGAGGCAGTTTAAGGAGGAGATTGAGCTTTGGAGGAGGACTCTGAGGATTCTACAGCACTTTCTTCCCTAAATTCCTCATTCAAGCACCTGTCACCTGATTAAGCAGATTTTTTTAAACATCCGAGCCAACCATTATGGCATGCTCTTATCCAACAGGGAGGGCCTCTAGTGGGTCCTGGGGTGGGGAGACAGCTAAGAAGTGTCACCTGTCCGGACAACAGAGAGCGCCATGAGAAACTGACAGAGCAGCAGCTGCTTGCTGAGGATCTCTTGAAGGTTCTCCTGTCCCTCCACAGAGAAACCCTGAAATGGGAGCACAAGGATCGGGGTGAGAAACAGTAGTGATGAAGACTGAAAAGGCATCCCTACTTCAACTTTACTGAGAGTTCTGCAAGTGTTTTCATTCATCTCCACCACCTGAATGATAAAGATACAGCTCAGCGTTTGAATTGTTTGGCATGGTCACATGGCTCGTTACAAATGGACCAGTGCCATTCCCAGGAGGTGGAACCAGTTCTGCTTTTCCAAGGAGATGGTCCAGAAAATTATAAAACTCACCTAAGACTCCAAGGGAAGATTAAGGCAGAACAAAGGCAAAATGCTGGCTAGTCACAGGCCAACTACAGGATAGGAAACAGAATGCACTGGCGAGACTGACAAGGGCCGGGAAGTTCATGTGGCGTGGCTGCTCTGTTTGGGCCCACTCAGACTCTGTGCTCACCACTGAACAGGCCCATTTGGTGACAGAAGAAAAGTTAGCAGAACTCTGACACACAGTGATCTCTCTTTCTCTGCTGACCACAGATTTACTCACAAAACCCACTTTCCGATCCCAGGACCATGAAGCCTCTCCCTCTAGTTGGCAGGGCCTCTGGCCAGGGTGTTAGTTCAAAGAATGCACGTTGCTATTCCTGGAGTGGTCGCCCTCCCTGTGAGAACCCAGCAGGGAGCAGAGAGCCAAGCTCACTCACTGAGAAGTAAAGGAGGCCAGGTACTGGGGGAGGGGGAGGGGGCCAATGTTTAATGGGTAGTTTCAATTTCGCAAAATGAAAACACTCAAGATCTGCTTCAGGACAATGTTAATATATGTAACACTAAGGAACTGTACACGTAAAAATGGTTGAGATGGTAAATTTATGTTATGTGTTTTTTACCACAATAATTTAAAAAGTGAATGAGGCCCTGGCTGGTTTGGCTCAGCGGTTAGAATGCCAGCCCGCAGAACAATGAGTCGCAGGTTCAATTCCAGTCAAGGGCACGTGCCTCAGTTGTGGTTCATCCCCAGCCCTGGTCAGGTCGTGCAGGAAGCAACCAGTCGATGTGGCTCTATCACATGGATATTTCTCTCTGTCTCCCCCTACTCCCCACTCTATCTGATGATAAATAGAAAAATATCCTTGGGTGAGGAATTTTTTAAAAAAGTAAATGAGCCTGTCGCCTGCTAAGCTAGCCCCAGCCAGGCCAGGTCTCCCTGACTCAGTCCTATGAAGGTAATAGCTAAATGACCCAGAATAAAAAATGTTTAGCAATGTCTTCCAAATTTATAGATGGTCCTCGAAATGCATGCCTATTTATAGGGTCAATCAGAAAAGAAAAACCCAGCCCAGGTTACCAGTCTACATTGCTGAAGCCGAAAGACAATCACTGAGTTTGCCACCCTAGCTGCCAGATCGCAATGGCTGCCTCCCAAGCACTATCAGCCCCCATACCTGCTCACTGGGAGTTGCTCCCTGCTGTGCACAATGCTTTGGGACCCTATGCTGACATCCTGCACATTCCCTCACTTTCCCACAAGCTAATACCTGAAAGGCCACCCATGTTGCTCCAGGGGTTTCACTCAACTCTACCCATGTGACCCTGGAGCAACTGCCACATTCTCTGTCCTTCCTCTAGACCATGGGTTCTCAACCTTCCTAATGCCGCGACCCTTTAATACAGTTCCTGATGTTGTGATGACCCCCAACCATAAAATTATTTTTGTTGCTACTTCATAATTGTAATTTTGCTACTGTTATGTCGTCTTAGGCGACCCCTGGGAAAGGGTCATTCGACACCCAAAGGGGTTGCGACCCACAGGTTGAAAACCGCTGCTCTAGACTTAGTGGTGGCTCACTCCAAAAAAGACTACCTGCCACATCAGACCACTGGGTGAGAAAGCTGCAGTGGGCTCCCCTCTGCGCCTCAAGCAGCTCCCCAAGGAATAAGGCTCCTCAAACACTCACTTTCACCCAGCCACTAACAGAGCCTCCCGTGGTTCCCCAGAGCTGCCGCCTTTGGTTATATGGTCATCGCTCAGCCCATCCAGAGGCCTGCAAGTGGCCATGTATAGACAGCCTCTGCCAGGAGCAGCATTCAAGTGACAAAGGATGGAAATGTTCTTCCCAGTTAGTTTCGCCTAGTTCATCTTAGTCATGGTCCTCAGAGCCGACTGTGGCCCTTTGAAGAAGTGAGCTGAGAAGGGCCACCTGCTCCAAGCAAAGGTGTCCACAACATCACTGCTTTGACAAAAGTATCATTGAAAATATGTATAAAAGAATAACAGAGCCCTGGCTGGTTTTGCACAGTGATTAGCACATCGACCCTCAGACCAGAGTCATGGGTTTGATTCCAGTCAAGGGCATGTACCTTGGTTTCAGTTCGAGCCCTGGTCCTGGTCAGGGTCGTGTGGGAGGCAACCAACTGATGTGTCTCTCTCACATCAATGTTTCTTTCTCTCTCTTGTCTCTCTCCCTCCTTACCTCCCTTGCATTCTATCTGAAAATCAATAGAAAACTATCCTCAGGTAACGATGAAAAAAAATAACAACACCCTGGCCAGTTTGGCTCAGCGGTTAGAGCATCAGCCCGTGGACCAAAGAGTGGCAGGTTCAATTCTGAAGGTCAAGAGCATGTACCTCAGTTTCGGTCCGAGCCCTGGCCCTGGTCAGGGTAGTGCGGGAGGCAACTAATCAATATGTCTCTCTCACACTGATGTTTCTTTCTCCCTCCCCCTCTCTCTCTGTCCCTCCGTCCCTCCCTCCCACTTGCTCTGAAAATAAATGAAAAAATATCTTCAGGTGAGGATTTAAAATAAATAAATAAATGAACAAATGAATAAATAAATAAATAAATAATAATAATAAAACATAAATCATACATCCCCTGAGATCTGAATAGTGAGCCAGCACCTTCCAGGGCAGCTAAAGGGCTAATGAAACAAAACAAAACCAATTCTCAAGTCTCTAATGTGATAAATCCCTAAGGCATCTGCCTATGGAGAGCAGATCACCTACCCCATCAGCCATCAGAAAGTGGACACCCTTGCGGTCTGTGTTATCCAGGACAAAATTCCGAAAAGCAGTGATGTTCTCTGGACGGGTGATGTCTCCATCTCCATCAATCCCACCCTCACCTGCAGGACACAAGATTCACATTAATCTCATTGGTTCTGTGTATCCCAACAGCTGGGACATGAGCTCTCTGGGGCTGTGAAAAAGGTGCCAGGTGGCTCTCGAGGTCCAGCAGAAAAGCCCCTGTAAGGAGCAACTCATGGCAGCACCTCCTGCAAGGCTGCCTTGCAGTGATGGACCAGGAGGCAAACACTAGGCCCTGCTATACATAATAAAGCAGAAATGAAAAGGAGTTAATCAGCCAAGAGTTATCAACTGAAACAGAGGGCCTTCCTCCTCAAGACCAAAGTTGTGTTTAAAGCACCTACTTTTCAGAACCAATATCAACTTTTTAATAAGGATGGTTAAGAAAGAACTTGGGACCTGCTGCCAAATCACAAGAATCAAAACAGAGTGGTGGGGACTGCTGCGGGGTAGCTGAGCTGCCTGTTACCAGTACTTTCCACACCCCACACAGGGCTGGAGATGGGCATGGGGTTTGTATGTTAACAACTCTGCCGGTTCTCAGCCAGAGATCAGGCAGTTCCATTATCTCCTGCCACCACAGACAGGAGAAGAGGGGTGAACAGGGCTTGGATGAAAGTGTGCCTAGTGGAGTGTTTAACCTGTATCCCGCAGACTAGGGGGAACACGACCTTCATGACATGGACTGGGAACCCCAGGCTGAGAGACCTAGGAAAGAATATGGCAAGTGGGCCCTGGCTCGTGTGGCTCAATGGACAGAGTCTCAGCCTGTGCACCAAAGGGTTGTGGGTTCGATTCCTGGTCAAGGGTATGTAACTGGGTTATAGGTTAGATACCTTGCCCCAGCTGGAGCACAGGAGGGAGGCAACCAATCAATGTGTCTCTCTCACATTGATGTTTCTCTTTCTCCTCCATACCCCTACTCTCTCCAAAAAGGAAAAAAAAAATCAATGGAAAAATATCCTTGGGTAAGGATTAACAAAGAAAACATGGCAAGTGGATAATACCTGCTTCTGACCTAAAGTCCCCACAGAAGACTGTCCCACAGCCCCTAGTAACCTTCTCTGTGTCCCTACCATAGTAAGGTTCAAAGAGTTCACTGGAGGCTGAGTAGAAGTCCTCCAGCTTAAAGTCGTTCGGGCCTTTCAGAGTCATCCCAAAGCCCTTCGCGTGCCACTTCTTCCTCCACAGCACATACTCCGAGAAGCCACCTGGGCCTGCACAGACGTCAGCAAAGTACAGAAGCTCAGCTTCCCGGTCCTTCACCAGTGGTTTCTGCAAAGGCAAGTAGAGGACAGGGGAGGAAGGGAAAAAAGATGGCTCAGATGGGGAACAGGAAGGAGAAAATGGAGAGTGAAATCAGCCTTTCCCCAGCACAATGCAGAGTTCCCAGCAGGACCACAACCTCCAGGAAATGCATCTTCTGTGAGCATCACCCTCTGGAGCTGCCCATCCCACCTCAAAATACCCTGAGGCCTTTTGCACCACCAGGCCTAGCTAGCGTAGACTCCTAATAAAAACATCTTAATGGGCACCCTGGGTGTGCATTTTTTGTTTCTCAGCATTTTTTCTTCACCATATCCTGCCTAACAAATCCTCCTGAGCAGAATAGATGCTATATCTCCTCACATTACAGACAGGGAAAAAGAGACAAGGAGACACAGAGCATCCTGTTTCTAGTGTCTGCAACAAAGCTAACTCAGAGTCCAGTCAGCCTGATTGCTAGACTCTGGTCCAACCCATCTGGGAGCTCTGACATCACCCCGTCTGGGCCACAGTGCCTATGTTACCAGACCACACCCTCTGCTCCCCTGCTCCCTTCCTCCTAGGTGTTCCTTTTTTTTTTTTTCAATTAACTTTTCATTTTAGAATAAGTTTAGATTTACAGAAAAGTTGTAAAGACAGAGTTCTCATATACCCTTCACCCAGTTCCAGTTTTATTGATATCTTAAATTGTCATTTGTCACAACTAAGAAACCAACATTTGTGTACTACTATTAACTAAACTCCAGGCTTGACTGAGATTTCACTAGAGTCCTTGTTCTGTTCCAGGATCCAATCCAAGATATCACAGTGCATTTAGTCTCCTACTTTCTACACCCCTTTCCTCTCCTGCCTTTGCCCCTCTACTAGCGGGAACCTGGGATGGTGTACAGATGGGAACTGACAAGACAGAAAGAAGAGCAGACACCTGCGTGCAACTTCCAGGCAGCCCTCAGAGCACCCACCTCAGGAATAACTATATTACAATAATTATTTGAATTTTTTTCGTGTTATCATTTTGGCCACTCGAGCAACTTTACCTCTTAATCTAAAATTTATGCTGAACGCAGCACTGACCTACATTGTGTGTTTACAACTCTCTGGTACACACCTGGGCCCTAGATGGTGAATTCTATTTGTCCTGACCCTCCAGAGCAGACAGGAGGTGCCATCAACCCTGGTGACAACCAGAGGCTGAGCTCTATGTGGGTGACAGAGGAGGACCCTGATGAACACCCAGCAGGAGGGCTTAGGCAGTTCGGCCTCGCTCTCTGCAGGCAGACATGGCTGAGTGCTCGCTCTGAGCTCTGTAACTGCTAGATAAAGGTCAGAAAGCTTTAGGAAAAACAGATATAAGAAAGAAATGGAAAAACTAATGTTCACAGTCCAGTCCATTTCTAGGTGACAAGGCCCTTCCCTCTGAGGATGGCTGTCTAGCTTTATCAAAACAGTGAAAAAAGTTTCTGGATAAAGTGGCTTTAGCTAAAAATAAACTTCGTCATCCTATGACAAGCCCACCCAGGCATGCTGGGATATATCAATTATTTTTCCCATTCCCCACCACTCCAGCCCAGTATTCTTTGTTCCTGAGCCATCAATTGTTTATATTTTTGGATTCTATTTATTTGCACACAAAAAAAGACCTAATGGCATTTGCCCAAGAACATTATGTAGCACTTTCCTGACACTGCGGTGGTAATGAGGCAGGGGTCACAAGTTTAAGGCCTGCACAGGCTAGAAAATGGGAAAATAATGTTCCTCACCACAGGGCATGCCCTAGCCCCGTTCCCCCAGACTCCAGCCTCTCCCAGTGAGCTGCTGGCCCAAAGGAAGACTAGGGGAAGGAAGAGGAAAGAATCAATGAAAATATCTCACCTCCAAAAAGAAGGCATTTCATTTTGTGATTTCAAGACATGTGGCCCTCACAGGCCATGGCTAGAAGGTCCTTTCACAGAAAGGACAGCTGGGGTTCTCACCTACTCCACCTGCTGCTTGTGCAGTCAAGGGCGAGCACACAATTTATGTCTTTAAGCTCACACTCCCTCAACTGTAAACTGGTACTAATGTAGGTTATTTCTTTAAAAAAGAAATCCTGCCCTGGCCGGTTTGGCTCAGCGGTTAGAGCATCGGCCTGCAGTCCGGAGAGACCCGGGTTCGGTTCCCGCTAAGGGCATGTACCTCGGTTGCAGTTTGTCCCTGGCCCTGGTTGGTCGTGCGGGTGGCAGCCACTCGATGTGTCTCTTTCACGTCGATGTTTCTCTCTCTCTCTTCCTCTCTCTCCCTCCCACTCTATCTGTGCAAAAAATGGAAAAATGTCCTCGGGTGAGGATAAAAAAAATAAAAATAAAAATAAATAAATAAAAAAGAAATCCTCACCCGCCCGGCTGGTGTGGCTGAGTGGTTGAGCGTCAACCCATGCACCAAGAGGTCACCGGTTGGATTCCCGGTCAGGACACATGCCCAGGTTGTGGGCCAAATCCCCAGTGGGAGGCATGCAGAAGGGGGTCAATCAATGTTCTCTCTCATCGATGTTTCTATTTCTCTCTCCTTCTCCCTTTCTCTCTCTCTAAAATTAATAAAGAAAAAAATTTTTTAAATAAAATTAAAAAATCCTCACCCCGGGATATGTTTTTATTGATTTTAGAGAGACAATAAGAAGAGAGAAACATCGATATGAGAGAAACATCAATTGCTTGCCTCCCGTACGCACCCTAACCAGGAATCAAATCCACAACCTAGAATGTGCCCTGACCAGGAATTGAACCTGCAACCTTCTGTTGTATGTGACAACGCTCTAACCAACTGAGCCATCAGGCCAGGGCTGTAGGTTATTTTTTTTTTTTTTAAATCTTCACCTAAGAATATTTTTCTATTTATCTTCAGATAGAGTGGGAGGGAGGGAGGGAGAGAGAGAGAAACATCGACGTGAGAGGGACACATCGACTGGTTGCCTCCTGCACGACCCCAACCAGGTCCGGGGACAAATTGCAACCGAGGTACATGCCCTTGACTGGAATCGAACCCACGATTTATTGGTCCTCAGGTCGATGCTCTAACCACTGAGCAACTGGCCAGGGCTGTAGGTTATTTCTTACATCAAAAACCTTTATAAACTATAAAATACTAAACAAATGTAAGATATCATATTCAACTAGATGAACTATCTTGGAGTCAAAACTTTTGTCCTTTTCCATCTTTTTCTCTTTCCAATGCCTCGGTGGGCACTTTGTAAGTACTAACTAATTCCCTCTAAGACAGCACTGAAACTTAAAGATCTACAGTCAGTTTTTGTCTCCTGTTACACTTCAAAACATGTTTTCTTACCTCAACAATATCCCCAGGCACACAGATCCCTCACATAATGTTATGGTTTGAAATATACTTCCATATACCCAAAGAATCTGAATTCCCTTCTTTCCCTTGTCTCTTCTAATCCTTGTTTATGATGTCTTTACTTCCCTACCCCAGTCTCTTTTCAACTTTCACCACAACCTGCAGAGCCAGCACATGGAAAAACCTGAGTCAGGTCCCCTCCACTTCCCACCACTAACCTCTCCACACCACCCCAAGCTTCAAGCTCTGCATCCACCTGTGTTCTGTGATCTGCCTGATCTAAAAGCCAGAGACCCTAACAACCCAGCGTGTGCTGGGGCTTCAGCCACTCCCCTCTCTCCTGGAAACTGCTCTAGAGCATCTCTGCTCACCTGAAAAACATGCCAAGGCTGCTGGCCTTGGCTGTCACTCTGGTCCTCAGGGGGAAACAGAGATGAAAAGAGAGAAGAAAACACGAGGGGCTGGAGAAAAATCACTTTTTATAGTGGAGTGTAGAGAAACATCTCTGAAAAAGGAATTCTCCATGGCCACTAACAATCAATTCAGGTCAAAAAGCTGCCTGAAGCATTACAAACACAGCTGCCTTTTCCTATGTAACTACCATCTCCACCCTCGACCTGAACGGTACAACCCTGGTGCCTTCTTCATTTTCCTGACAGCAAAAGACAATAACCAGACACTAGCTGCTGGAGGCATTTTCATTCAAAAGCCCAAAATGACGCTGCGACTTCCCATCAGCTTGACAGAGCTCTTCTGCCAGGCAGGGGTTTAAAATCATTTGGAGCTCAGAAAATTAAATCAACGTTATATCAACCTAATTTTCTCAAGATGCTAATTCCAAGAGCCCTTTTGTGCTGCCTGCTGATATGGAAAATGGGGAGGGAGACATAGGAGAGAGAAATGACTAAAAGCTGGAGGGTCTACACGCCAGTTTTGCCAGCAAGGAGAAGACAGTGAGGTAGGTGGAGCTGAAGCATTAAAGAATTTGAAAAAGAAGTTTCTTTAGTGAGTGGATAATCAGAAGGAGGGTAAGTGAAGCAGAAACAGGCAAAGAGAACTAACTTTCTAGAACTGGATAAAAATGCTTTGAAACCCTGAAGGGAATGCTAGAATTGAAATTTCCTTTATTCTTTCTCTATCATCATGGAGGGTCTGTGTTCAGAGAAATGAGATGCAGCAGAGTAGAAAATCATTTTGCTTTACCATTTCTTGAGAAGGGCCAAAGCCTGATAACTATGGTCCCACATAAAGCTTGTTCTAAGAGGCAGGAAGGGGAAGTGCCACATCTGAAATCTGAGAGCTGGAACAACTGTTAGCCTTTTGGTCCTACCCTGGCCCTCTCATAGGTCAGTAAGGCTAGTTTCAGAGGGAAGGCAGCTGAGATCCAAAAGTGTGAACTTAAATGACACCACCTGCAATGTAAGTGGTCCACTCCCTGCCCACCTCACTGAACAACAGAGCCACGACACCAATTTTAAATGGACCAATGGAAGACTCCAGATACCCACATTTCATTCCTTTCAAACATTTCCCAAAGCACTCCCCTCTCATACCAGCAACAGCACCCAAATCCGATGTCAGTTTCGAAAAGAAAAACAAGCTCACTGTAAGGACTATGCATTTACCCTCCTACTCTACCTCATCCATGGCAGAACGAGGACAGGCTAACGCCCTTGGAGGCAACTGGCCTCCACACGTCTGAGCACAGAAAGGCTTTACAAACATCCCAGCCCTGCACCCTTACCAGCTCTCAAGTCCACCAGAATGTTCAGAACCCAAGTTCCATGGGGAAGGGGATCACATCTATCTCATTCAAACTTATATTCGGGTGCCCAGCACTGTGCCTGGCACAAAGTGGGGGCTAGATAAATATATGTTTAATGAAAGCAGGAGGGGCCACACTCTAACTCGTGGCCTCACCTCCCTGTTCCCTAGGCCTGTAGAGGCCGCAGTTACTGATTTTGCCCAGGAATGTCCCTTCTCCACTGCTGCAAGCCCTGCCCGCCTCCATTTGGAATGAGCAACAGGATCTGCAGAGTTGGGGGCTGGGACTTTGGGCCTGAAGCCCTAAAGACAATGCTTATTGGGGCCCTCCTGGGGCCAAAGGAAGCACTGTGGGGCCCTATCTGAGGAGCTCAAAGCAAAACACAACTCTAACATAAAATGTATCTCTAACACATAGCAGGTATAATTACATTGTACAAATGTCAATTTCTGGGCCAATGAAGCTTAAGCCCATTTCACATCATGAATTCAGAAGCAGAAACTTGTTCTCACCCCACAAGAGTCCCGCGGATTTGTAAAAATGCGATCAAATACAAAATCCATATTGGCCATCTTCATTGCCGCCCTGCAACAAAGACAGACAGAGAAGCTCAACTCAGTACCAGACGTATGGAAAGCTGAGGCTCAAAGAAAAGGTGGAAGGGTGCACATGTAAGGGGAGGAGAGAGAAATGTCAGCAAACCTGTTGAGGAAGAAGACTCCTCGGATCATCTCGTAGGGATTGGCCCGGGTCCGAGCTCGCCGCATCTCCTCCCCATCCAGGACATCAAAAACACTCTGCCCAGAGAGAATCAGAACCTCAAGGTGAGCATCACCTTCCAGGATGGGGCAGGGCTCTTTAGAGCCTAAGGAGCCCAACTAACAGGCCTCCAAAGAGCAAGGCTCCTGCTGTATCCCAACCCTAAAATGACCAGTTGTGTGACCCTAGACAAGTTACTCAATGACTCTGAACCTCAATTACATCACCTGTAAAATGGTAAAAAATATAATGTAAGCATGTCCCTGGCACATGGTAAGTGGTTAATAAATGGCACCTGTAATTATGCACAGGGCCACCTCTTGGCATTGCTAATCCTCACTGCAAATCTGTTTCTCCACTCCAGCAGCAACTTTCCAAAGAACCAGAGTTCTAGACTGGGCCTAACTGAGAGAGGGTAAATAAACCAAACCAGGGTTTTCTGATGGCACCCACCACACAGTAGGGATCCCTTCTCTGTCCTCCAAATTCCTCTCTGATAAAAAAAAAACACAAAAAACCAGCCTCACTTCACATGAGCACCAGTCACTGTAAGAATATTTCCAGCCCTCTGCCTGTCAAAAAAAAAAAAAAAAGCTCCGAGCCCTGGCTGGTGTGGCTCAGTTGGTTGGAACATCGTCCCCATACTCCAAAAGGCTGCAAGTTTGATTCTGAGTCAGGACACATACCCAGGTTGTGGGTTCAATCCCCAATCAGTGTTTCTCTATCATATCAATGTTTCTCTTTCTCTTTCCTTCCTCTCTCTAAAATCAATTAAAAAATAATAATAATAAATAGCCCTGGATGGTTTTGCTCAGTGGTTAGAATGTCAAAGGGTCACAGGTTTGATTCCTAATCAGGGGCACATACCTGAGTTGCAGGTTCAATCCCTGTACAGGAGGCAACCAACTGATATGTCTCTCTCACATCGATGTTTCTCTCTCTCTCTCACCACTACCCCCTGCCCCCCGCCCCCCCAGCCCTCCCTTCCATTCTCTCTAAATATCAATGGAAAAAAATATCCTTGGGTGAGGATTAACAACAAAAAAATTTAAAAGCCTCACAGTATTTCATTTAATTCTCACAGGAACCCTGGGACGTATTTTCTTCCTATCAAACTCAGTGACACTAAAGCAACTACACCAAGGTCACACAACAAATAAAGTTGCAAAACTAGGATTTGAATTTAGGTCTACGTGATGCTAAAGCATGATTCCAAACCTTTCATTACACTAGCCCTCCCCTCCTCCCCCAGGATTACAATGAACCTACCCACTGAGGTTAAATGAATCCTTTCCTGGCTACTGACCACAGGGACAGCACAACATTACAAGGTGGGGCAGTCACCAGGTAAAAGGACATCTTGAAGAAATGTACCAGCTATACATCTGATCTCCAGGAAAACATGAGCTAAACTTCAGTTCCCCACATGACTCAAGAGAAATGGAAAAGGCCAGCACAGCCCCTCAGCTCCAGCTCTAGCCACAAGGCCTTACCTTGCACTGCAGCACATTGTGAAGCAGATCTTCCCCACAAAACTCTGTTTCATCTTCAATAATCATCTTTCTCTACAAGGAGAAGAAACAGTCAATAATGACCACGTGTGACTGCATTTTGGGGGAATGAAAGGAGGAAACTAGGGTTCCGAGTGAGTAGAGAAGGGCTCGAGTCCCTGCCCAAGAACATCAATCTCTGAGGGGCAGAATGAGAACATCCTGAATCCCTCTGGCTATACTCCAGATGGCTATGAGATGAAGCAGTCCCTTGGGTGCTCTGACTAGAGCACCATATGGATACAAGACTCATGAAAGCTGAGGCTGAGAAAAGCAAACAGGAAGGAGGCATTCAAGCTCTCTGTCCCTGGGGAGGAGGCAGAAGGATGGGACTACCCCAAATGACAGAAGCCTGTCCTTCAACCGTGAGCCTCTTGCTTGGTGACGAGTGTGAATGCATAGCACGAGGCACTGACCCGACCGCGTCACAGAAAACAAGGGCTCAAGAGAGCAGCGCACAGATGTCAAGTCCAACCTCATCTCCAAGTTAGGCTACCTCTAAACCAGCGTTGCTCAAACTTGGGAGTTCTCAGGTTTTACACTCTTCAAAATCGCTGAGGACACCAAAGAGCTTTTAATTTAGGTGGGAGATGTGTGTAATTATTAGAAATGAGAATTGAGAAAATTTAAAAATATTCAAACTTATTATTAGAAACTAAGATAGGTTTATCACTAGAAATTAAAACTGAGAAAATTTAAAATATTTATTCAGTGTAAAAGAACAATATGTTTTAACATAAATAACACATTTTTATGAAAAATAACTATATTTCCAAAAATAATTTAGTGAAAAAAATGGCACTGTTATCCAGTTTTGCAAATCTCTTATATCTGGCTTAACTAGAAGACACCTAGATTCTCCTTTGCATTCGATTTGTTTTGACATCATGTCATGTCATAGCCTCTAGAAAACTCTATTGGACACTGTGTGAGAGAATGAGAGTGAAAAAACTTTTCAGTATCATTATGAAAATAACTTTGACCTTGCAGACCCCCTGGAAGTATCTTGGAGATCCCTAGGGGCCCCTACACTTTGAGAACTGCTCTCTAGACCACACTGATTTAGTAGCTATCTACTTTATTCTTACAATTTTCCAGAAGGATATTAAACAAATTCCCTCTGTAACAACTCCCTCATTACTTTCTGAGGACAGGTACAGTGTCTTTTCATCTACCTGGAACAGTGCCCAGCAATGACCAAAATATACACAGATGTATAATAAGCTAACATAAAAAGCATCCGTGAGGGAGATAAACGTTATGCATTTTGTGTTGTCTTGCAAGTTAAATGACTAGAAAAAAACAAAAACTCTGTCTGCCACATCTCCCAGGGGCTTATCTATAAAGCCCTTGATACATCCTCTTAACACAGTTTCATTCCTGCCAGAATGGTCAGATTCACATCTTTTTATAGGTGAATACCAAGACAGACATACCAACTTGAAGAGGAGAAAAGTTAGGAGGTAAGTGACAATTTCAGGGCACATTTTCCTGAAATCCTACCTTTCCCACAACCATCCAATCGCTCATTTCCTGAGTGTCAGGAATCTCAGTGGTGCACTCTGGGAACCATGACACTTGCTCACAGGCACTGGGCTACAAACAAAAGAGAGGCAAGTCAGTCAGGTAGATAGACCCTCAGGGCTATGCTGCAACTCCATCAGGGCTTCCCAAAAACAATCAAGACGAACTCCGAGTGGAAAGAGTCTGGGAAGCTGAGGCCAAAGGCAGTGGTGAGACAGGAATATTGAGAGCTAAAATGCTAAAGTTTAATTTCTGAAGGCCAGGTCCAATTCTGGTTTGAGTCCTTATAAACTTCCCAAACATTCAAAGTGTCTTTCATTTGTTCCAATATTTTTGATGAATACCTACTATGGCCTATGTGCTCAGAATGCAGAGTTAAAAAGACAACGTCCTTGACCCAAGAGGCAGTGGGGATACAGAAAAGTGGGGATAGGATATGTGTGTGATAAGGTAATTACATCAGGAGACACAAAACAATGAGTCTCACCTTCTGATGCTTTTCAAAGTGTTGCTCACAAAATGAATAGGATTCCTCACCCATTCTAAGATAGGGCAGAAACTGGTATCTCTAATGTACTGCTTCCTCTTAATTTTTCAATTACATTCCTTATCAAGCTAAAACAGCTATACATTAAGAGCATCTGTAGTCCTTTTAAAAAAGTACTGATGCCTGGGCCCTGCCCTCAGAGTATATGATTCTGGGTTAGAGACATGGATTATGGAACCTAAACAGGTGGTTAACCTGCAGAGCAGCTTTGCTCATTCCCTCCGGAGCAAGTGTGGAGAAGAGACTCGCGTTGTAAACTGAAGCAATGTGACTAAAGGTAGTATTACATGCTCTGAAAGGCATAGAATAGATCACAATGCAAGGTCTCGATGGCAAGCCAACCACCATCAACAGAGAAAAAGTTTAAAAGAAAAACTACTGAAGCCTTTTGTCAATGAATCTGGCAGTGAATCATGGTTTCTCCCCTTGGTCAAATCCATCACCTTTAAGCATAAATAGCTGTGATTTATATTATAAACTCTTTAAGAAAATAAAAAAGAAGCTCATATACACTTTGGATACCACTCTGGAGGAAAAAAGCAGACAATCTCCCCATGGAAGTCTAAATATAAGGCTACCTGCAAAGTGGACTTTGTCCAAAGATTCTAACCTCGTACTCTCCACTCCTGGGCTACAGAAGTCACTGAGCAGAGACTCCAGGAATAGGATATTCACCTCAGGCCACCCAGATTCATCTACCTTAAGAAAGTGGCCACCATTTAATAGGCCAAACTCTTAACCAAAAAAGATAAGGCATCTTTCATAAGAGAAAACACTGAATTATGGTAGATGGTAATTAGGACAGCCTTGCCTCAAAAAAAAAATTTCAATAGCCTATCTCCATTAAAAGCAGAGATTTTATGGGCAAATTTCGTATTTCAAGTTTAGCAAAGTTAGTTCTAATTCTGCCTCACTGAGAGGATCGGGACTTCTTGTTTTCACACAAATGAGGACAAGAAAGCACCAGCATTTCTGAGGTAAAAACCTACATCTAGCACCCAATTACAAATATTTACCCTATTCTGCACTGTCTCATCTGCTATTCTGCTGGTCTCGTCTCCTCACAACTACGAAGCAACACAGCAGGACCACCCCAGAACCCATTAGCTCTTGGCTTGTCAGCTTCTTACTCTGAAGCCTTATTAGGCTTTTATCATGCACAGCTTCATGGGAGTTTTTCCTGAACAGAAACATCAGAGAGACAAATAAAATATCAATTTTCCAGAGTTCAGAGCTATACCTGAAGCTAAATTACAGCAACTAGGTAGAAGACATTTGATTTCTATTTTCTCCAGTTTCAACTCCATAATAGTAATATTTCATCATTATTTTTAGGGGCTTTTATTATACCTACTTCAAATCCTTTGTGGAATAAGGCAGGACATATATAAATGAATAAAAATAAAATCTCAACATTATCTGTGCCATGAAAAGGAGTAAGAGTCTCATTTGGTATTCAGGGTTCAAACAAACTGGTAGCCAAGTAGGTAAGCGGACTAAACCCACAATAAAAAAGCCATATGGCATAAACAAACACCTGTTTAGAACCAGGATGCCATAAACCTGCAGAGGTGCAAGGACCTCAGAGGGCACCTAATCCAGTCACTCATACAATGGGAGAGTGGGTCCCCATTAACCACTTGGATCCTTTCAGCAGAGGAAACTCTCTGCCTTGCAAAGCATCTTAGTCACTAGTGGAAAACTGTATCTATGGAAGTTCTTTGTGGAGGCAAACTCTGCCTTCCAGCATCTTCAACTCAATGGTCTTAGTCCTATTTATGAAGCACCAGGAAGCAAATCCACATCCTATCAGTTCCCCCTCCCTGAGTAGTGTTTTCCATTCTAGACATTGCCAGAATCTTCCATGAAAGAAACTAGTTCAACCCCCACTAACCACCCTGATAATACTGTCTCTGGAGGCTTCTAGTTTATCAATATGATGATTTAAAGGCATGTACCCAAAACCATAAGTGGCTTCCCTGACTCCTCCTCCCCACACCAGTTACCTCTGGCTCGTCTCGCCAATCCACATTCAACTCCTGGTCAAAGCCTTGCAATGTCAGACCCAAGCCTCTTCGACCTTTCTGATTAGAGGCCTCAACGATGTCCTTCCGACCCTGGCTGTATTTACCCAGTCCTTCACCTTCCTTGAAGCCCATCTTGGCCTGAAAGAAAGAAATAATGTTGCATTTATAAAAATAAACAGATAAAATGGAGAATTATATAAAAAAGGCATTTATTTAGGCCCTATCATGTGCTAGACATTGTGCTAAACTCTAAAAAAATAAAATAAAAAAGGCCTAAAGTTTCCCTTCTAACCTAATAAAAAAAAGCATAAATAAATAACTGTAGAACTGTGGGACCAGTGGCTGTCTATTCTGGAGGCAAAAGTCTAGGACAGACAGAAGTTGGATAAAAAGGGACCTCACAGGTGTAATTAAAAGTACCAAGGGTACCTAATGAATATTACTGGACATTTGCACAACTACCCTTCCAGCTAATTTGTCTCATTAAGTGAGAAGGAGATCTAAGCAGAGTTGATAAAGAGAATGCAATTTAAAACAGAACCACTTCAGATTCTTGCTAAAAGGAATAGTTGTTCAGAAGTTTTCAGTTTGGTCTTGTTTTGTTCTGTCAGCACCTGTATAACAGTTGGGACAACGTGGTTACAGTTGAGCCTCCCAGTCAGCAAGCCCGAGGGCTGGGGCCACCCACAAAGGGGTCAACAGCAATCAAAACCCAAATACATTAGGAGGACCCATACAACCCACACAAGGGGCATTCCTACAGCACCCAGCTCAGAATTAAAAAGACTACACCACTGGGTCCCACATGACACCCACTACAAAAGACCACCCCACTAAAACTGGGAGTCATAGCAGTCCCATCCAATACAAAGAAACAAACATAAAGAAGCAGCAAAAATGGGGAAACAAAGAAACAGGCCCAAAACAAAAGAACAGGAGGAATATCCAGAAAGAGCTAAATGAAATAGAGGCAAGCAAGTTATCAGAAACAGAGTTCAAAGTAATGGTTTTAAGAGTGCTCAACAGCCCTGGCTGGTGTGGCTCAGTTAGTTGGAGCATTGTCCCCTACACTCAAAGGTCATGGGTTCAATTCTTGGTCGGGAAAACATACCTAGGTTGTGGGTATAATGTGATCAATGTTTCTCTTTAATTCTCTCCCTTCCTCTAAAATCAATAAAAATGTACCCTCAGGTAAGTATTAAAAAAAAAAAAAGAATACTCAACAGCATGATAAAGGACATGGAAACCATGAAAAACAACCAGTTGAAAATGAAGAATGACATAGCTGAAATAAAGAACATACTGGAAGGAATAAACAGTACATCAGAGGAAGCAGAGTATCGAATCGGTAAATTATAAGACAGGGTAGAAAAAAATCAATCAGGACAACAAAGGGAAAAAGTAATTAAAAAGCAAGGGGATAGTGTAAGGAAACTTTGGGACACCATGAAACATAACAACATTCATATCACAGGGGCACCAGAGGGAGAAGTGAGCAAGGGATAGAGAACCTGGTTTGAAGAAATAATGACTGAAATCATCCCTAACCTAGTGAAGGGAAATGTCACACAGGTTCAGGAAGCACAGAGAGTTCCAAGATACATCATAAATAAAATGGAAAATATAAAAGACAAAGAGAGAATCTTAAGAGTAGCAAAAGAGAGACAGTCAGTTATCTACAAGGGCACTCCCATAAGAGAATCTTAAGAGTAGCAAAAGAGAGACAGTCAGTTATCTACAAGGGCACTCCCATAAGGCTGTCAGCTGACCTCCCAACAGAAACACTACAGGCCAGATGGAAATGGCAAGAAATATGCAAAGTAATGAAAAGCAAGGATCTGAAACCAAAACTACTCTATCCATCAAGGCTATCATTCAAAATTGAAGGTGAAATAAAGAACTTCCCAGACCAAATAAAAAGGCTAAAGGACTTCATTACCACCAAACCAGTATTGCAAGAAATGTTAAAGGGACTGCTGTAAGAGGAAGAGATAGACACAGAGGGGAACAAAGGCCTAAAGCAGTGGTTCTCAACCTTCCTAATGCTGCGATCCTTTAATACAGTTCCTCATGTTGTGGTGACCCCAACCATAAAATTATTTTCATTGCTACTTCATAACTGTAATTTTGCTACTGTTATGAATCGTAATGTAAATATCTGATATGCAGGATGTATTTTCATTGTTACAAATTGAACAGAATTAAGGCATAGTGATTAATCACAAAAACAATATATACTTATATATTGTGAAATATTTATTTCTAATTACAAATAAATGAAATTTTGTCTTGAAGTATGGTGTAGCATGGGTAACAGTCTTATTATTAACAACAGTAAACTACATTGCTACATTTTGTGACAGTATACGTAAAAAGCCAATGTCAGTGCAAAGGTTGAGATTGCTTCTTTCTCACCAGATCAAAAATTCTCAGGGCAGTGTTTGCAAGAGCACAACGAAGATCATCTTCCACAACAAGTCTACTTCTGTATTTAGACTTGATAACCAACAGCTGGAAAACCGTGTTTCACAAAGATATCTTGTTGGAAATGGAAGAAGAAGGCACAACACAGTCTCAGACAGAACAAGATATGACTGCAAACACTTGATCCAGAATTTTGTAACTGGCATTGTAGAGAAATCAGTTCTTGCTGCATCGCTGTTCTAAGTTCAATGAACTCCTCTTGTGCTGTCTCAGAAACATCTTCAACTTTGACTGTGAATGGGCTTCTGGCAAGTGCAAATGGGGTGTCAGGTAGATTTGGAAAGTACAATGAAATTTCGTCTGAAAGCATGTGCAAGTCTTCTTTCATAGAAATTATCATCATAATCCTTTTCTCTGGTTCAATGTCATGTTCCTCAAAGAAAGCAGATAAGGTAGGCAACATGTAAATTTTATTTTCATCCAATTATTTTTGCCAAAGGTGAGGTTACATTTGGAATGATCGGATCTTTTCAGGCAAATTGAGGCATGTTGCATTTGGTCCCTGCAGTGATAAATTTAACTCATTCAAGATGGCAAAGATGGCAACAAAGTAAGCTATTTTCTACAGTTCACTTTTATCACTGAAAAGTGCTTCGAACTGCGGTCCTGCTCTCTGATTAAAAAACGTTTTGAGTTCATCACGAAGCTCAAAAACACATTTTAAAACTTTTCCTGTCGACAATCATCTCACTTCAGTGCGAAATAGCATTGTTCGGCACATCGAACTCGTTGCAGTTGCAAAAACAGTCGAGTGTTTAAAGTGCTCACCTTTACAAAATTGACAGAACTTACAACTCTTTTCATTACTTCTTGTAACTCTTGTGGCAGCGTCTTTGTTGCTAATATTTGCTGATGCATCATACAGTGAGTTCTGACAACTTCTGGTGACTCATTCAGTACCAAACGTTGAAATCCAGATTGACATCCTAGCCTAGCTGGAGCACCATCTGTGCAAACACCACAAACCTTTTCCCAAGAGATCTTATGCTCTTTCAGAAATGAACCAACTGTGTCAAATACATCATGTGCAGTAGTTGTCATTTCAAGAGGTTTTCAAAAAAGAAACTTATCTTTAAAGTCACCATCATTAATATACCTCACATAAACCAATAACTGTGAATCGATTGCAACATCTGTAGATTCATCAAGCTGGATGCTAAATATTGGAAGTGGAGCAGATTTAATTTCTCGGATTACCTCATCTAGAACATAAGCAGACATGTCATCTATTCTTCTGTGGACAGTGTCATTAGATAAGAAAATTGCACTCAATTTGGAAACAAATTCGTCTCCGATCTTAACTCGAACAATGTCTTTGGCCGCTGGCAACAGTAAATCCTCAGCAATGGTGTGGGGTTTCATAGTTCTGGCCATTCTGAGTGCCACCAAATATGAAGCTTCAACGGCTGCTACGTTTTGTTTGCAGTGTCAAGTCTAGCTTTCTTGAGTCCATCAGCTTTGCTTCTAAAATAGTTGGTATCCTTGACAGCAAAGCTCGGATGCTTGCTATCAAAATGGCATTTTAGTTTGTTTGGCTTCATAGATTTGGCTGACAGAACTTCACAACAAATAACACATTGTGGTTTCTCAATCCCCACTGTAATTATTGAGGTAAAACCATACTGTAAAAAATCCTCACTATATTTTCTTTTCTTAACGTCCTTCTCTACATGATCCACTGTCATGGGATGAACTGCTAATGAAAATATATAACAATAGCTTTAATAATACAAAAGATAATACATGGCATAGTTTGGTCAATACAGTTCATTAAAGTTTCCTATGATTTACCAGTCTGTGTTTTTTTTAATCCTCACCAGAGGACACTTTTCCATATTTTGTTCAGGTAGAGTGGGAGGGAGAGAGAGGAACAGAGAGAGAGAGAGAAACATTGATGGGAAAGGAACACATCGAGTGGCTGCCACCCGCACAACCGACCAGGGCCGGGGACAAACTGCAACCGAGGTACGCACCCTTAGCGGGAACCGAACCCAGGTCTCTCAGGACTGCAGGCCAACGCTCTAACCGCTGAGCCAAACCGACCAGGGCTGTGTTGTTTTTTTTATATACCTGTTACTATCACAAGAGGACAGTATTCACATCAACCACAGCTGAATATAAAAAGACCAATCAGCACCCAGATTAAGTTCCCAAGGTACAGATATATTTTTTGCAGTAGTTTATGATTTTATAGTACATGATTTTACATTTACCCAGTAATTATAACTCATGAAGTGTCGTTTTACCTCCAATACTGCTGCTCTCAACACAGTAGCTGCTTTTAACAGAGTAACTGCACTCTACACAGTAGCTTCTCTCTACACACGTGTGACTGGTCCACATAAGTACATTATGGCACCAACCCTGTCACATATACCTGTATTTATATGGGGTGTATGTGATGGGGTTGGTGCGATGATGTCATCACGCCAGATACTCATATGTGGGCAAATCTGTATGTGGGTGTATCTGCATGTGGGCAGACCCGTCTGGAGATGGATAGAGGAGTGATGTCTCAGTTCCTAAGACCACTGGAAATATGTATTTTCCGATGGTCTTAGGCAACCCCTGTGAAAATGTCATTCGACTCCCCAGGTTGAGAACTGCTGGCCTAAAGAATTAAAACAGTAGCCCTGGCCAGTCTGGCTCATCAG